GTCTTTGCAGGAATAGCCTGTTTTTAGAGGCTTTTCTTCTTCTTTAATATGTGTGAATTCAGTACTTTATGTTTTCCTTTTAGTATTGATTTAGCCGTACTCCACACATTTTGAGATGTTCTATTTTCATTTGCACCCTGTCCAATGTATTCTTTAAAGTTTTCTCTTGAAATTTATTCTCTAATCCATGGATTACTTAGAACTGTACTTAATTTTTCAATTTTTAGAAATCTTCCTGTTGTCTATGATCAGCTTCTAGACTGGTTTCACTATGGTTAGATGAGACACTCTGATGAGATTAATCACTTTCCACTTGTCACAGTAGATTTTTTTTTTTGACTTAGATATTTCTTAGTACATAGTCCACGGGCATTTGGAAAGCATGTGTGTTCTACTGCTGTTGGGTGATCTTATAGCATTTTGTTTATAGCACTGAGCTCCTTTACATTCTTGCTTTTTAATTGTTCTATGTTATTTTGGGTTATTTAAAATACTAAATTGTCGATATTAATGGTCACAGTGAGTTGACTTCACAAAATGCTTTTTAGTTCTCTAACATTCTAGGTTTTTTTTTTGTTGTTGTTGGTTTGCATTACATTATTCAACCCTCCTAGCAGCCCTGTTTGTTACATAGCATTATCATCCACATATTAGTAAGCTTCAGAGACGGTAAATGACTTACTACCAGGGTTGTGTAACTCATGTCCACCTAAAATGCCTTATAATCTTCTGCTGTATCAGAGGAGAGGGTTGATTTCACTTTTCTTGCAGTTCACAATTGAGTAAGGATGCAGACAAGGCAGGGGTGGCTGCTGCAGTGATCCCGCTAAGGCGTGGGGGGCAGTCTCAACCGTGAGCCTTGGTGATGCCTCTCTCTTGGGATTCAGACCTTGTGTGTAACCTCTTTCTCTTGGGCATGGCTTTGACCTTGTGTTTTCCCCTTGTACTTGACAGATTTTGGCAAGGTGATGGGACGTCACTTTTGAGATTTGATTTCAAAGTGACTCATCTCTATTTTGGGCCTTCTTTTCCTCCCCTTCTCCCTCATTTGCTCAGAGAGAAGCCAGGTCTATGTTCCAAGCTACCTTAATATGGAGACTCAGGTGGCAAGGAACAGATACTTGGAGTTGACAGCCAATGAGGAATCTATGGGCCTCCCTCAATAGCTATGAATGAATTCAGAAGCGCATACTCTCTCTTAACGCACATACCTTCATGGCTGTATCCCCACGTGAACTCGTGACCGCAGCTCTGTGGTGGTGTTCCTAAGCCAGAGGCAGCCAGCTTAGCTCACCTAGATTGCTGACCCACAGCAACTGAGAAATCAATGACTATTGTTTTAAGCTGCTGATTTTCAGGAAAATGCATCCAAGAAAGGGAGACAGCAATAGCAAGAAGCAAGTGCTGGAGGATGGTCTGGTGCACTGCGTATTCAGATGCTGATTTCTGTGCCCCAAGAGCTGGTTGTAGTCCCCACGTGGGCATTGTCATTTTCTGTGAAGAATCACCTGTATTAATGTTGTGTAAAAATTGTTCTCCATCGTCTCTGATTGGGTAATAAAGAAGCCGATCAGCCTATAGTTGGGTGAGAGAGGACAGAAGGTACAACTTTCATTCCCAATCGGGGGGGTCTTGTGTAGGGACCAAAGTCAGAGAAGAAGAGGAAGAGTAGAAGGATGAGAAGGAGGAGGAAGAGGAGGAGGAGGAGAAGGCATAGAGAGGAGGAGGTCACAAGAGGACAAACACGGGATAGGCGCAGCCAGGGCGAGACTATATTGACAGGTTAAATGGCTGGAAGGTAGCCAGTCCAGCATAGATGGGTTAGAATAGATGACTATCTGCCCAGCTCAGTGCTTTAAAACTTATTAATAAATGTAATAGGTCTCTGTGTCAATTATTTGGGAGCTAGAATGGGTAATAGAAAAAAATAACCTTTACATTATTTTATGATCAAGACTTTTGGAATTACTGACAGATTCGGGTAAAAGATAAGAAGAGGGGACTTATTAGTATCCTGAATGTCTTTCTGAGACGATATCACTTTCATTTTTCTCCCAAGCCAGCAAGACAAATGCAGCAGGGATTATACATGTGTAAGCACAGAGAGGGCTAGATATATAGACTAGAGTCTCCTGGGCTCCTGGTGGGCAGCGGCTTCTAGATGTCTCTGGAAGGGACACAGAAATTAGGAAAATAGAGAGCTTGAGAACCAGTCCTGTGATTGGGCAAAAGTAGATCTATGGAGAGCCATTGCTTAGAGTCAGATGACTCACTATTTTTTTTTTTTTTTAAGCAGGGTCTCCTGTAGCAGAGTCTGGCCTTGAACTCTCTCAACTCACCTATGTCTGCATCCTGAGTGCTGGGATTACAGGCATTCATTGCCTTGCCTGTCACTAAGGATTACCAAAGGACAGGATTAATGCAAAAGAGATGATGTAGTAATACTAGGTAGCTTTCACCTATTTAAATCTTTGACAGCTCTATATCTCCTGCCCCCAAGTATCGTTGGGAATGGGAGATTAAAAAGCAGCCAGAAATATTTTGCTTTAAGTGAGCATGTCATGTGAACATCGGCTTGCTGCAGTCATTTCTACCCTATGGCTGTCAAGCCTTTGTGGATCCATTTCTCCTGCAAAGACCCTGGGTGGGTGACTTCCAGCACTCCTCCTGTCTGCTTCTGCTTCTGCTTCTGTCAAATGAAGAGATGTTAAGTGATGACTGGGGTGGGGGTGGGGGAGCAGATGGAAGCAGTAAGCAGAGACAGTGAAAGAGAGGAGAGGGTTGCGGAGACACAGCAATGGCTTCAGTGAGGTTAGCCTTGCGCAGGAGGAAGGAGGGAGAAGCGTTTTCCTACTTATCTTTGCGTAGATGGATCCTGATCGCCACTGATACTTATTGTTCCTTTTTTGAATTTCTTATTTGGCTTTACAGTGCTACGGATTGAACCCAGGACCATATATACATGTCAGGCAAGCGCGTCTACTGATCTCTAACAGCTGAGTGATATTTATATAACATATATATTACATATATTTACATATATATTACACACATAATTACACACACATACACACACACACACACACATAAGTAATTTGCTCCAAAATCAACTAACCTCAGGTGACAATGGCCACACTGTCTTTTTCTGTGGAGGCTAAACCCAGGTTACAGGGCATACAGGCTTATACAGGTTTGTTCTGCATGAAATCTACATGGTATCTTTCTTCTCCTCTGAGGTGTTGGATAAACCACTGCCCAAACCTTTCCACATCATTGCCACTGGCTTCTTACCCTTCCCATTCATTAATAACTATTTACCTTTTAAGTACTATGGGCTATTTGGCGTGTTGAGCATGAGGGAGGAGACAGGACAGAGTCTCTACCCTAGGAGCTAGTGCAGAATGACTGTTGATGGTAGCCACAGAGGGAGGGAAGAAGGTGTTCCTGAGAGGGGGTTCAGTTTTAGGATTGAGACGCAACCGTAGTTTGGACATTTGGGAGATATATTATTTTTTAAAGTTCCTCACATAATACGCTGGCCCATATTCTATAAACAATAAATATTCCATACTTAACCATCTTTTCTTTTCCCTTCCTTTTCCCAAATGTGAAACATCAAATAGTCTATTGCTAAAGTAAACACCAAGTATTTTACATATTAATACAGCTAACAATTTCTTATTCATGTTTGCATTGGTTTTCAGTAAGGTCGAATGGCATTTAAAGGGATGTAGATTGTTTGATAATTTGAAGAGAAAAAGTTAGCACTACTTGTTTTGTGATAGTTATAAAATTAAGGACACTTTTGCAAGTTTGGTTATGGTAGAAATATGTTGCAAATTTAGTGCATTTTGACACTTGTGAAATAGGAAATATATTCTTTAATGCCTATGAGAGCTTGCAAAGTCACATAATTTCCACATAAAACAGTGAAATATGACTGAAGTATATTTGAGTAGCCTTTGCATCCTTAATGGCTTCCTCTAAGTACAGGACTAGCAAACAGTCATTTCTTTAGGCTCCTTCACTTTTGTTACCATTAGTGATTGGCTTTCTCCTAAGATTCTCCCACAAAAATAAAAACCTCTATAAATCAATATAAATCAAGATTTAAGAAAGCCCCACACAATGAAAGTCACTACATTCTTGAAATGCTGGTTCTTTCAGTAAGGGAGCTTAGTGGGATCAGGATTCAAAATAAAGCCTTTGGCTATGAGAAATCCTTATGACTCAGCAGCTCTCAGAGTCACCTTAAGAAGGAAATGGATATGGAGCACATTCAGTCACAGATGTTGGAGATCTCTTGGCCCCAAACTACAGGTTTACAGCAGGAGGGAGCGATCGGCCATTTGCTCACCTGTTTGCTGTTATAGTATAGATGAGCTCATTTTGAAATAAAAGTGGAGTGATTGAGAACTTTCTGAGGTTAATGTAATAGGAAAGTTGCTCTAGACTACCACCAATTACATTTTTGGACTTTTACTATTCATTTGCTGCTGTGGCAAAAATTTTGCCTCAAAGTTATAAAAGCTCTGAACCGAGCTGTTTTTGTCTGTGCTCTTTGAGCTATAGTATCAGGTGACACCAACTGGCCTTGAACACTCTACACAGGTGAGGTTGACCTTGTACTTTTGATCCTCCTGCTTCAGTCTCCCAAGTGCTGGGATTATAGATATGCAGCACCATGCTTATGTTGTGTAGCTTTGGGGGCCCGAAGCAGAGTCTGATTCCTGCAAGGTGCAAGCACTTATCAACTGAATCACACCGCAGCGCCTTCCCACCCCAGCTTCATTTTAACTGGGACAGGCGATTCTACCTTTGGAGGTCAGAGGCCATGGAGGGCTTCATAAATATGAAAGTAGCCCGGGGAATCAAGGCATTATCATCCTTCGATCGGGTACTGCTGTTTTCACATTCCCACTTTGTTCCTTGAACAGAATTAAAAACACAGGGAACTCCTGACCGGCTGGAGCCGACATTCTGGAAAGGGTTTAACTTACCTCTCTAACAAACCACTGACAAAAGGCAGGGCCGATCCATTCTCTCGCGTGAATGCCACAGTCTATCCAGACTGCCTTTTTGTAGGCTTGTGATTTTCTGCCCAGCTGAAAACAAGAGTATTCACAGTTACCAACCCAGGCTTTTATTTTTAGATCTCTGACCAGCAAAATTTAATAAGGATTTGGCATAACTTGTCACTATGGTTTTGTTTATTAGGTAACACATTAAAAGGATAAAGAGATTTCCTATCTTCTTTGGAAGCCTAGACTTGCTTATGCAGAAACAATAAATTTACTGCTCAGCACAATCGAAGACCTAGAAAACACACAAAGAAAAGGGCCATCCTCAAGTGATACAGTTGTTCTGTTTTAATATCACAATGACTGTTAAGTAAAAGTCTAATTTTCCTCCCCCCACTTTTCTTCTCCTTTCCTCTCTACTTGCCTACCCCTAGGAAGTAGAATGTTCTAAAAGGTATTTCTTAGAGTGTTATACTTCATAGGCAAATTACAGTCAAACATCACAAAACAGAAACATAAAACATTATCTGTGAAATCAAGGGGCCAATTGCAAACACCCCTGACTACGTCAATATTACTTTAAACCTGATTTCCAACCCAGGCATTAGTAGGCAGCACTTGGCAGTATATTTGTAAGGGATCTCGCTTCCATTCACTCATTAATTCACTTGACTAAAGTGTCAGGAAGCGCCTCTCAGGGTCAAACATCGGGCTCAGCTCTGGATATTCAGAGATGAACAGACAAGAGATGTCCGTGCTGGTGAGAAGGGCAGCTGTGAGAACAATCAATCCAGCTTCATGACTTGAATACACAGAAGCTACTGTGGGGACATGGTATGTTTTCTCCAGTTCTCTTGGGGAATAAAAGGATGCTTAAATATTTAACCAAGACTGGAAGTGCCTGAAAAACAGGTTACATGAAGATGGGTAGAGCTGTAAGAATCTGAGGAAACTGTATCTAAGGAAGGAACAGCAGATGAAGCAGAATAGAGGCAGGGAAGTAATGGCGTCCCCAGGTACTGTGTAGAAGGGAGAAAGCTGCACCTCCTATTCTATGATCTCCCTCCCCTCTCTCCCCTTCTTTCCTCTTCCTCCATCCCTTCCCCCTCCCCCCAGATATATGTGGTTGTTTTAGAAACTTCACACTGATAGCAGTGTGGAGGATGGGCTAGAAGATGAGTTCACACTGACAGCAGTGTGGAGGATGGGATACAGATGAGTTCACACTGACAGCAGTGTGGAGGATGGGCTAGAAGATGAGTTCACACTGACAGCGGTGTGGGGGATAGGCTAGAGGGTGAGTGTGGCTAGGATGGGGACAGAAGCAGAGGTTCAGCATTGATGTCATTACTGACATAGCCCAGGCTGACCAGATTCCAAGGCAGATTCAGGCAGCAGCAGTGAAGACAGTGAAGAGGGTGACAGAGCTCTCAAGGAACTGTCAATATTTGGTGGTGAACTGAAAGTGAGGAATTGGAACACAGAGGTGAAATTTAGGGAGACACTTTTCCAAGGTGGGAGCATAGCCATGACAAGTCTCAGGAGCTGTCGCGAGGTAAGTGTGTTCTGCATGAATTTCAAGCTCCACACGCCAGATAGAAAGATCTGGGATGGTTTTAATATGGGGCATATGTGTGACCATGTGGTTGGAGCTTGTAGAGTGAAAGCAGAGCTGAGAGTAGAGTGAGGATGGCTGGAAGCTCCGGAGGGGACATGATGAGAGAAGCCGGTGACTGACCTGAAGGAATGCCAGGCAGTGGAGAGGGTAATAACCTAGGGGTCCGCACTAACCCTGAGCAGCGCTTTTAAAGGAGACCCGGGGAAAACATCAGCCAAGTCTGAGTGGGAGGCGAGGAGGGTGACAGCGAACCCGGCAACCGCTTTTAGAAGCTTAGCTGACACGTGGAGAACTGGAGGATCAGAATGTGTGACTAAGGGAGGGAAGCAAAGACCAGCTTCTTCACATTCATCAGGTCTCGATTGGTTCATCAGGAACCAAGAGTCTTCTGGAATATTCCAAGGCCGCAATTAAACACGGCTCAAAAAACCCAAGGCAATTTCTCAAGTTAGCAAGATGATGATAAATACGAGACTCTGTGAAAGATAATTTCATTTCCTCCCACAAGTCAGAGGGAAGGAGATACACATTTTGTGTTAACATTTCTATTCTTTTCACCTGTAAGATAAGGAGAGGTCTTTTTTCGTACGATCTTCCAATAGAGAATACCCGGACAAGGCCTGGCTGAGTTTGGTTCAGATGGCGCATCCAACTTTGAATCTGAGGCAGACAAGTAAGACTTATGTCAGAGTCCTGCAGGATACAAGAACTCTTTGAGTGCACAAGATGACAAAAGACAACTTTGGCTCCCGGAATTCAAAGAACACACAGGGAATAAAAACAGGAAGGAAAACCCCACAAGCCATCCACTTTTACTTCTCTTTAGGATACTTAAAATGACATTTTGTCTCTACTGGTAACCAGTAGTCTAGGGATTTTTGTTGTTAACTCTTTAGAAGCTGCCTTTCCCTATCATATCACTGGGATCATCGTTGTGGGGGTGTCAGAAAACTGACTAATGTGCTCTGGCTTCTTTTTTGAAAAACCTGAATTTATTTCTATTTCCCCACAGGTATTAAAGAGGAAAACAAAACAGCACACACACACACACACAAAAAAAAACAAAACAAAACCCAATAATGACAATAACAAAACACATGACAGCTTCTGATGCTCCAAATAACTTCAGAGCCACTGAAATCTTTTTTTTAAAAATATGTTGTAATTTGGAACTGAGCAAAAGCTACCGGAGAAAAGGCATTATCGTCCAAATTTTAGTTTTTTGTTTCTGTTTTTGTTTTTTTTGTTTTGTTTTGTTTTTTTTCCTGTTGAGCCACTGGAAGGCACATTCTTTGTAATTCCTCTAGAGGAGGGTACAATTGCATCAATCCGTTTACACACGCTTGTCTACCATTGGGAGAAGGCATGTTTGAGATGGATAAATAACGTGCTGAGAAAGATAGGCAACATTTCTGACTTAAAAGCCCTGCCAGCAATAAAGAAGTCAGCCATGTGGAAGTGTTCCACTGTTCCACGGCGTGAGGAGGTATGTGCTGAAGGAAGGTGTGGAGACATCTTAGAAAGCACTCACATTTTCTTTTATCTGTATATAAGCTAACAAGCAGGAACTATTGTGTGTGTACATACATATGTGTATTTCTAGCTGCATCTAATTTTGGAATTTGACCTTTTTCTAGGGAGTGTTAATATGCTTTCATGTGCCAGTTTTTCTGAAACATTTTTCTTCTTTTTTTTTTTTTTTTTTTTTGCTTTTAATTCCAAGCTTCTTAAAAAAAGTATGCTGAGACATGGAAATATGCAAAATGAATTTTGAAAGGAGATTTATCCCCAACCGAACAAAAACATACTCTTAATAATATAGTAGAACCTCCTAAATTTTGTGTCTGGAATTCCTTTGTTCAGTTTAGAGAAAACATGGACAAAATACATATGAATTTATATATTCTGCCAACAGCTTGTCTGCTTGGAGGACTTCCCTTGCCTGCACTGGGGAGATGGCAGTGAACACAGTAGATACTTGGCCCTCGTGGAACGTGCAGCTTTTTAGTACCGGAATTATCAGCCAACCACAGTTCCACTGTGACCTGTGAACAGGGTCACATCTGTGTGCCGGGGGTCGCTGGGATACACTGAATGAGGTGGTAGTGCAGGGTCCAGCGGTGCCTCTGATGCAGGCTGGCTGTTGGGGCGGGGTGGGGGGAGGGTCTGAACTTGGCAAGGGTGTAAGACTGGTATGACAGTCTCCTGGACCCCTCAGCCAAAGCACTGCCTTCAAACTTTGGCTAGTTTTGTTCTTTCCATGGCTTTTTAGTTAAGGTCTTTATAGCCTTGAATTTAACACCAATTACCTCATTGTTCATCTATTTCCCACGTCTTTGGTGGGGTTAATTTGGGTAGAGTACGTAAGAGTCAAGTAACTTTGCTACCTCTTTTCATGAGATTGTTTATTTTTATTTTATGTGCACATGTGCTTTGCCTGCAGGTGTATCTGTACACTCCGTGCTGGAAACCATCCTTATTCCCCACTTTTTTGGGGTGGCCAGGAGAGGGCATCAGACTCCTTGGAACTAGAATTACAGACATTTGTGAGCCATCATGTAGGTGCTGGGACCCAAACAACCCAGAGTCCTCTGTGAGAGCAGCAAGTACTCTTCTGGTGTGAAAAGATCAATGAAGAGATGAGTAAACCAGGGGCCTAAACCATTCTGTATGTTATTCCTACAGCCCAAGTCTCTGTTTTCACAATTCTCTCTAACTTTTATACCAAAATGACAAAGGCAAACTTAAAAAAAAAATTAAAAGGTCCTTTGATTACATGATTACATACGTCTTCCAAGGAGTGATAAACCTCATAGTTGTATTCAGACAAGGATCTTCTGCTCCTCTGGGTTTGGAAGCTGTTTTCATTTTCCACAGCTTTCTGAAGATCTTCTATGAGGACCCTGGATTTGAAACAGTTGACATGATCAAAAAAGTAAGCCAAGAACATGCAAAAATCAAGTAATGCCAAAAAAAAAAAAAAAAAAAAAAAGGATAGCACAAAGAATAAAGTCATGGAAGTGTCTCAGTGTTCCATGGTGTGAGAGGGGAAAAAAAAAAAAAAGACTGTCAAGAGTGACAATTCCTAGGAACCTGCCACAGAGGGCCTCTGAAAGCCTCTGCCTTGCAGACTATCAAAGTAGATGCTGAGCCTGATGGCCAACTGTCAGGCAGAGTGAATGAAATTTTATGTAAGAAGTGGGAAATAGCAAGAGCTGGAGAGGACAGGAACTCCACAAGGAGAGCAACAGAACAAGAAAATTTGAACACAGGGAACTTCCCAGAGACTCATACTCCAAACAAGGACTATTCATGGAGATAACCTAGAACCCCTGCACAGATGTAGCCCATGGCAGTTCAGTGTCCAATTGGGTTACATAGTAATGGGAAGAGGGACTGCCTCTGACATAATCTGATTGGCCTGCTCTTTGATCACCTCCCCCTGAGGGGGGAGCAGCCTTACCAGGCCACAGAAGATGACAATGCAGCCACTTCTGATGAGAACTGATAATCTAAGATCAGAAAGGAGAGGAAGACCTCCTCTATCAGTGGACTTGGGGAGGGGCATGCATGCAGAAAGGGGAGGAAGGGTGGAATCGGGAGGGGAGGAAGGAGGGGCTTATGGGGGGGGCGATACAAAATGAATAAAGTGTAATTAATAAAAAAAAAAATAAAGAGTGACAATTCTAAAAACACCGAATGTTGATAAACCGTTCTTTTTCAGGAAACTAAAACTGTGAAATAAATAGTGTAATAAATTTAAGGTGTAAAATTATAGTCAGACATCCCAAATAATAGCACCGCTGCAATCATCGCTCCTATGGAGTGAGCATCTATGACCACGCGACAGTACTGTGCATACTCATGCTGCCTGTTTACCAGAAGCCAGACGCTGTGCTGTGCGTTTGATCTTCAATAACAACCTTTGTGTTGGAGTCTGTTATTTCCATCTCAAAAACGAGGAGCCGAGTCTCAATAGGGTTGGAATCGGTAAGTGTCATTGAGAATGCAAAGACAGAATCTGAGCTTGGGATGTGAACCCAGATTCTAATCTTGATCAAGTCCTGAGTGGCATAATGAAAATGGAGCTCTGGCTGAACTGCTCTGGGCTTCCTCTGCACATCTTTCCTGAAACTTCTATCTGCTCACATGCCATCACCCTACATCCTGGGTCCAGGGAAGAGAAAGGATGGAAGGAGCTTTGGTTCTCAAGAGGAAACTAAAAAATAAAAAGGTGGAAAAGGCTCTCATTGCCCTGCAGTAGCAAGAACTGCAGGGAAGAGGAACTGTGCTCTGAAATGAGATGCATTTGGTACTGGAGGCTGCAGCCAGCCCAGGGATGTGAGGCTGTGGTGGAACCAGCTCTGGACAGAAACATCCATGTTGTTGACATGACATCTCATTAGATTAGAGGCATGTCTAAGAGCATGACTCGAAGAGTCAGGCACTTTGTTCATCAGTAGTATTTCGAGATGTTAGAGACCTTTGGTGATTCTGACTGTGGCAGTTGGCTTAAAAGCTTTGTTTTCATATTTTATCTTCCAAAGAGAACCTGCTGTTTATGTTTTTTTTTTTTTTTTAAAGAACAAGGTGTCTTTGCTAAGTGACATTTAGGCTAATCTATATAAGTCACGGAATGAAAAGAACCATCTAATGTACTGAATACATACTTTTTGATTCAAAACAATTTACTTTGGAGCCAGACACTGTGAGCTGACTGGCTTGCTATTTCCTGATTTCCCACTGCAGACTGAACACCTAACCAGAAATGGACAATTGACTTATTCCTTTTGTTTTACCTCTGTATTTTGCAGTTGGAAATGTTAGAGAGAGGTGAGGTGGTAAAAGATTGCTCAGTTTTCTTGGTAGCTGCCTATGATAGCTCAAAGTTGTGAGTGAGAGTAATTTGTCAAGCCAACCGTCGTCTTTATCAGCAGTTTTTCTCTTCCCAGAGATAAGAACTTATGGGGATTAGGTGTGTGACCTGCAGGACTGCAATATCACCGAGGCAGATTTGAGGAGCCGAGGAGAACCATGGCAACTTCTAAGCTCCCTTTGTTCTTGGAGAGCTTGGATAGCCAGGAAGGAGCAGGCCTGATTAGGAGGGGATACAGTGATAAAGATTCCCGTGGCTGCCGGCAAACTTCAGGCATGTTTGCCTCTCAGTTCCCTTCCTGTGGAATTTCTTTCTGTCCTATGAGTGAAAGCTAGTTAGTCCACACCCAGAATTCTTGTGACAAAATCTGAATGTCCAACTTAAAAGGTCTCTGGGGTGGGGTTCCATGTTATAATCACTTTAGCAACTGAAAAAGTTCTCCATAGTAATGAAGACGGTGTCTAACACAGGCTCTAAGATGTCAGTCTTAAACTAGAGAACAGTTATAATTTGGCAGTCCAACCCCATTTCTTTTTTTTTGTCAAGTAGTTGAGTGGAAATCAGCAAGTTGAGAAAGCGAGTTACCAAGATGAGTTTTCTAAACCATTGTACTTTCTTAGTTTTTAATAAAAGATTGTGATTCTTTCCTTGTTATATTTATTTGTGTGTATGTCTTTGGATGAATGCATGCCTCTCTCTCTCTCTCTGTGTATGAGTGTAGATCAAAAGTCAATTTGAGGGAGTCATTCTTTTCTTCTACCATGTGGGTCCTGGGGCTTGAACTTAAGTCGTCAGGCTTGTTAGCAAGCTCTTTACCCATTGAGCCATCTTGCTGTTCCTAGTTAAGATTATCTCAACTGGGCACAGCCCTCTAATGATGACAATAGCTATTAAAACCTTTTCAAATGATGTCATTATGTAACACAAAACTACTTGCCCCAGCTTCCAGGCTTGGAGAGGTCTCTCAAAATGTTAATTTCTCTACCAGTTTTTCAAGTATCTGTAAGATTTTTTTTTTTTTTTTTTAATGGAAGAGTCATCTCATTGAATGGGTTGACCACCCAGGGAGCCAGAAACAAATAGTCACATTACTTCTGCTTTACAGATCACTACAGCGATACATTCTGTATGGTTGTACAGAGGAAATGGTAATCTTTTGAAGATACCCCAGGCTACAATAATAAAAGTCAATTAAAATGATCTCTACCAACTGTGCCTATGGAATTTAATTGACTCTTACGCGTTATTATCTTGAGACTAACAAAATGAGTAATTTTGAGTTATTGTTCTTCGTGAGGAATCAACTGACTTAAAATACTTATTTTCCCCCCCGCTATTCTCTTTGCCACAAAGTGTGATACTTTTTTTTCCCTCTGTATCAGTCCCACGTGAACTATAGCTAATAGGAAGTAGAGGCTTGTTAAACTTAGCAGTATGTTCTTTTCTACTGAACAGTAATTAATGAAGTCTGTGAGTTGCCACTGTGTACCTATAGATATAATCAGCAAGCTTTTTCCCACTAGGCATTCAGCGTCTCAAAGCTTGCCTCCCGAGCCATAGAAGTGATGAACATGTGAGTGATACAAATCATGCTTTCTGCACAGCTGTGGCTCTGTTCTAGAAGCACAGACAAAACACCTTTCTACAAAAAGCGTGCCAGCGCCTTAATAAGCTGTGGATGCTTTTCTGTTTGCATAACCAGGGTTGCTCTTGTCGCCAGCCACAAACTTTCTTTTTCTAGGATTCATCACTTTCCTTAACCCGCATTTAGCCAACATTTTGTCAGAATATCGTACCTTCTCGTCTGCTGCCCTCAGTCATGGTATACTTGTTTCTACTATAAAGACCTTCTTACCTTCCTTGGTTCTCCTATGTTTTCCCACAATTCCTCCTAGAGTCCCTCCCCCCCTTTATCCAGACTAGACACCACTGATAAACACTCGGATCCTCCCCTTGCTTATCACACCAACCTTTCTATGTTCCTATTTAACCGACCACCAACCCTCTGCCAATGTAATACCCTCTTGTCGGCAGCAACCAGTCAGTTGTTTCTGTTTCTTATTTCTGTGTTTCTCCTGGCAGTATTCTTTAGAATCCGTTTCTCCGCATCTTGTAAATAATTCTGTTTCTTACTTCAGAAAACCACCAGCTCTGTTTCTTTCAACTAACGGACTCTCCTCTCTGCTGTCCTCTTTTGGGGTGAGTGGGAAATGGGGTCTTGCTTTGTGCCTCATATTGGCCTAGAACCTACTGTGTACCCCAGGTTGGCATAGAATTTGTATTCCTCTCGTCTCAGCTTCCAGAGTATTGGTATTATAGGCATGGACCACAATGGTTGGCTCTGTTACCTTAAATCAACCCATATTTATTCCTTCCATGTTAAAAGATAATGTCAGATTCCAACTTCTCTGGCATCACGAGTGTCTCCCTCCTTCATGGTCCTTCCCCCAGGTTATAGAAGTTGCTCCTTCCGGCACAAATCTCAAGTCTTCTGAGTGGTCACTGACGCCAGGTGCTTGTGGCCACCCCTTGCCCTCTGCCGTCCCCTTATTGTAAACTTCTAGGAGCTAGGTTCTGCTCGGAATCTGTCACCTGTCTGTCTCTCTCCTTCTAGCAACATAATTTCTGTCACCAAATCCAGAGACGGGTTGGTTCCTTTCTTGTTAGGTATCACGGCAGTTGTGGGCCGTCCCATTCACTCTGAAATCATTCTTTTCCTCTTCGACTCCCATAACCATCTTGACTTACTCTCGGCTGCTGCAAGTCTTCATTTGGAAACCGTAGGAAAATGCACATCGATTCACGTCTGTTTGCTTAGTCCTCTCCAAGCTATAAAACTCAGCGTCCTCCTCTGACTTTTCTGCCTCCACCCGAGTGAAGGGCCTGGGTAGTTTTACCCCTGGAAGATTGTCACCTGCTGCTTGAACTATTTCTGTTTTCTGCAGTTACATTTCCATCCACAAATACGGGGCGCTTTTGCTCCGATCCTCCAGGGGGCAGCACTACCTACAGCGTTTTGGGCTCCCCCAAACCTGCATAAAATAACCTGCCCTCCCTCCGTAGACGCCCCCCCCCCGCCTCACCTATTTTTTTTGTTTGTTTTGTTTTTTAATTCTGACAACACTGGCCCACTGTGCAGCCTTCTTTTGCTTGTCTTGTCTCCCGCTTCCGGCAGGTCCCCAGTCTTAATTCTGTCTTCTCTGCTGCGGACCAGGCAGCTGCAGGAAACCGTTTCTTCTCTGCCTTCCCTGTGGCCTTTTTAGCACTGCCAGGTGGCTGCCCTTTCTTTCTACAGTAAGAGACTGTGTTGACATTGGTGACGTTGGTAATAAAATAACATGTCTATGTGGTTGCTCCTGTTCCCCATTAGGCAAATAAATTCTTCAAAGACGAATGCACACCCAGATGAATACACACCCGTTAACTGTCTCACGGTGAAATACCACCTAAATGAAACCCTTTCAGTAGCTCTTAATAAACAGCCCGAATACAGTCACCATTCAGTTGGATTTCGCACAAATAAAATTTGTAGCGAATTAAAAAAAAAAAAAAAAAAGAGTGCTTACTTGTACTGGATGCGGGCTTCCTGTAGGAAGGCTAACAGAGTTCTGGAAGCATTTTGGGGAATACGGACATCAGTGACTGTCCCCTCTGACACATAGGAGATGCTGCTGGGCTGCCACAGGTCCACCTGTAGTGCAGGAACCAACCTATAATTCACATGTAGCGCAGGTCATGTCACGGCGGCAAGCGCATTATCTTGTTTGAAAACAGGAGCAGCAAACACAGCAGAGTAGGCCCAACGCTTCCACCCTCACGGTTAAACTCTCATTCGCTCTGGCTCGCTTGAACTTGGGCCCAGGACTTCATCAGAGCCATAGAATCTGATCTTAATTCACAATATATTTAAGGCAGAAGGTTAAAGAGTGAGGCGATGGTTTAAAATTATTTGAGATCTATTGTATAAATGCTTGAATAACTTTAAGAAGGAAGAAGGTATAAACTGTCCTCTTTTCTGCCATGTAAGGGCTATATTTGGTAGCCCCGTTCCCCACTTGTACAGCGCTGAAGTGGAGACAGGCTTTCATTGCAGGGACAAAGAGGTTACCTGCTTTCTGTTAGGCATCTGACCCCTCCACTAGCTTGCAAGGGCAAATCCGCGTCAGCTAACCAAGCAGTCCACGGTGTGGGCAAACAGAAGTGTGGGGCTGGGAGGGGGTCATTCCCGCCATCTGTCGGCCCGGGCAAGGGTACAGCTAGGGCTGCATTACACTGTTTCCAGTGTGAACCAACTGGTCTGAACCAACCTTACAAGACTCCAGAAGAAGACTCCTAATTTAAGTCAGCTATGCCCAATAAAATCACCAGGCATCTTTCTTAATCCTCCTGCTGATGGATAGTTTCACTTTTTATTCTTGTTCTATTCCTTACTGAGGCTGTTTTCTTCCCTGTGCAAGATAGTTGTTGGTACCTTCACTCACCTTTGTATGTTAGAATTCTTTAACCAGACTTGCCATGTCTTTAGCCCATGGCAGGTCCCGACTTTTGGTAATAAGAGTAATAATTTTCTGTCAAAGGATACAAGGAGATTCTACTTTGTATAGGGGCTGGAGAGCCATAGGTGCACAAAATAATATGAATCATCACTCCAGAAATAAGCCGGTAAATGCTATTTTCCTGAGAGACATGCTAAAACAGAACCCTCATCCCACAAAGGGTGCCTTCCCCATTGGTAAGGACCACGGAAATGGAAAACTTTGTAGGAGTCTAACATTAGACAACTGAAGCCACTAAGCAGCGTGGTGTGACAGACACATCTGTAACTCCAGCCATTTGAGAGGCTGAGGCAGGGGGACCATGGATTTGAGAGCAGCTGGGGCTAGCCCTTGTCACAAACAAATAAGCAAACAACAATATCAACAAATCCCTAGATGGTCAGAAAGCTTTGAACTAACGGGGACTAACAACAACCACCAAAACTTATAAAATCTGCAACCAAGATCTGGCCACATCAGATGTATAAGATTTCAGAATATATAAAAATCAGTGACAGTTGTTGCTTCTTTAAGATTCTTAAGTTAGCACGCACAGTTTCCTCATAGAATATGTGTACATATATCCATGTAATTGAACTTCATCCCCGTTCATCCCCTTTCCTTCTACCATCCTCAAATTCTCCCTGCTACTTCTTGCTGCTCCCTTTCCTCTTCCCAAGTTGCTGTCCCTTCTGCTTTCATAGTACTGCTTTCTACTTCCCACTAATAATCCTGCTGTAAGATGTCTTCTTCCTGTCTCCTTTTACTCTGAGTAGTCATCCCCTCACACATCTATAGATTTTTCATATGGGAACACGTAGTGCTTTTCTGTCTGAATCTGGTTTACCTCTCTTAACACAGTGATCTCCAGTTCCATTAATTTTCCTGTTTACATCAGGATTTCATTTTTACTTATAACATTTCCATTTTCGTTTTATTATGGAAAAAGCTTCATTGTGTTTATGTGGTACATTTGTTTACCCATTCATTTGTTGATGGACATCTGGCCTGGTTCCACCTCTTGGCTGCTGTAGAGTCCTTTGGGCATATATACAGGAGTGGTATAGCTAGGTCATTTGATGTTTTCCTTTTGGGAACGTCCATAATGATTTCCACTTCCTAAGTTTACATTCTCAAATATGTAAGAAGCCCAAAAGCCACCAGCCACCACAGTAAAAGAAGCCACACAGTCAAAGGCTGGGCAGTCAGATCTGAATAGCTGCTTTCCCAAAGAAGAAACAGAAATGGCCAATGAATAGTTCATATCCAAAGGAGAGGACATCAGTATAACAGAGATGTCTCCATCCCCATGTCCACCGCAGCACTGTTGCAGCAGCTAAGGAATAGAGTTAACACTGATGCACATCAACAAAGAGATGGATAAAATGTGCTGAGCGCACACAGTAGGATGTGAGTTAGCCATAAAGAAGAGTGAACTGTTACCTGTGTCCAAATGCTTGGAGCTGAAAGATGCTGTGTCAAATGAAACAAGCTATACGGGAAAGTTTAGAACGTCAACCGAAATAGAGAATAGTGATTTTTAGAGATTAGGAGAATGTGGGGAACTGGATAAAGTGAGACTTGATGATGGGTGCCAAAACAGTCACACAGAAGGAACATGTTCTATCATTCTACAACACAGGGTGAATACAGCTTAAGGTATCCTATTCTGTACTTTATGAGGACATAGAAGAGAAGTGAAGGGCTCCAAACCTAAACTGATGAGAGAGATGTGTTATTTACTCTGCTGCCACCCATGGATGCTGTATGCACGTGCCGCAGTGCACACTGGTCGCCATTAAAATGTACATTTAACACAGGCATAAAAGTTAAGCCGTAGATGTGTTACCATTGCTGTCTGAAAAACAGAAGTGGGATGTAATCAGGACAAAGTTCCACTTGATGTTTCCAGGTAAGATGAAGAACAGCATGAGATTGCTTCCTTATTTTGGGTGAGTTGAATGCAGAGATGGGTTTAAGGGTTCAGGGTGGAGAGCAAGAAATAAAATTGAGATGATGAACAGAGCAGGATGCTTCCCAGCACAGAGGTGAACAGGTGGGGGTGGAGTCTCTAGAGTGATGGCTCTGAAGTCTGACTCTATAGGAGCGAATCCAAGCTCCACACGTTAGCACATGTGAGATGTGGCTGAGCTCCCTAACCTCACTGGTTCTCACAGTCTTTGCTTGCAAACTCAGATTGATCAACCAGTCCCCTTGATCAACTAGGCTTGCCAGTCTAAGTGGTTGTGATTTTCTGTTGTAATGGAAATTGGGAAGATTGTAGAAAATGTAGGGTGAAGTCTAGAGCTTGACAACCTGGGTGTGAAGCCAAAATTATCCCAGCTCTCTGTGCCTCAGTTTCCCAATTTACAAAGTCAAGTTACGAACAGTGTATTTTCCATAGATATTTGAGGTATAAATGAATCGTGGCATGCTTGGAATTGTGCTCTATGCATTAGGCATTTGTGAATTTATTTCAATTGTAAACAATTGAAAATAAAAATATCCTAATTCAGTCTGGCTCTAATTCCATGGTGTCCTAGCCCTTCTGCTACATTGCTTCTTAGCCTGGGCTCTGTGAGAACTGTCCCACCTGTCTGTCCATCCCTTGTCCCCTGGTCCAGGCATCACTAGGCTCTCATCTTCCCATAGCCTTCGGGTGTAGGCATTTGCCATGTCCCTTCAACTTGTGACAGATTGCCTGCCTCCCAACTGCCCAAAATAACACACAGAGGTGGTGGAGAGGAATGTCCTGATTTACTATATTTATTCTAATTTTTTGTTGGTTTGAAAAAAAGACTGCTCTCTATTCGGAGTACTTGTATTTCACAGGAAAGGTGTGTGTGTGTGTGTGTGTGTGTGTGTGTGTGTGTGTGTGTTACCTGCAAAGACCATAATCGGATATCAGATCCCCAAGAGCTGGAGTTATATGTGGTTGTAAGCTGTCTGACATGGGTGTTGGGAACCAAACCCAGGTTCTCTGTGAGAACAGGAAGCACTCTTGACCACCGAGCCATCTCGTGAGCCCTTCCAACCTTGTTTTTTGGCACAGGTGAGACAAGGTCTGTCACTGAACTTGGAACTCAGTTTTCAGCCAGACTGACTGGCAAGAGAACCCAGGGTTCCTCCTGTTTCAGCAACCCCAACTCTCTGTCTTCCTCACTGCCAGGGCTGCTGGCTTTTTCACATAGGTACTGGGGACTCAGCTCACACCCTCGTGCTTATCCTACAAACACTTTACACATCAAGCCCTCCATCAAGCTTCCACAGGGAAGGTTTGTGAGGAAACCGGTTACCAATTCAGTGTTTGGTCAGCACTTGATTTAATTTGCATAATGGTATTAATTCTGTCCAAGGGCTCACAAAATCTTAATGTGCTGGAGTGTGCCTTTTCCTGTTTACTCTTAGAATTGTCTTTTTGGTCTTGCCCCACTTATCCTTCCCGAATCTTATTTTAGAATCTTTGTCTATTGTCTCCTGGGAAGCTTCTTTGACTGCCAAGTTTAGATCAAGCACCTTTGAAATCTGAACTCTGTTTCTTCCACAGTCGACAATTTTTAATTGTATATAATTTGCATGATTGCTATAGTTGCTTCCCAGAGCTGCACTAATAAGTTGCAAAAACGGAGTAGCTTAAAGTCGACGTATTCTTTGGGCCAATATTACAGTATCGGCAGGACTGTGCTCTCTCTAAAAACTCCGGACAGCATCCTTGCTGGCCAGTTCCAGCTCCCGTGGCTGCGGCATTCCTTGGCCATTTCTTCTCAGCCTCTGCGCCCGTTTCCGCATGGGCTTCTGATGTGGCTCCTCCTCATTCTGAGGACGCTTGTCTTTGAACTTTGGGCAGTCTGGGCGATCCAGCATGATCTCCTCTGAGATCCTTAAACACACCTGATAACACCCACAGGCTTTGCTTAGGATAGAGATGAGTCTTGTTAACTGGTTTTGAGAATTTCATGTCTGAGTACAGTATGTACCCCTTTCTCTTCCTCCCACTCCTCTCTCCACCTTCTACCAGCCCTTCTCAAGTTCATGGGCTCTTACTCTTCAATTATAACTGTCACACATGCACACACACATTTTGTAAACATAAGTTACTGAGACTGTTTGGTGTTGCGCATAGGGGTTTAGGAATCAGTTCTTGGGATTAACTAGT